GTAAACGGAGTGTGGTAGTGGGGGGGAATTCAGAGGATTCTCTTGATATGCCGCTTATCTTTCGTTCGCCAGGTATTTGCGTATGCGTGGACGCATGGTTGGCGGAGGAGATGCGTAGGGAGGTTCGTTGGTTTTCTTCGTCAAACAGATCGAAACTCTCCCTTACACTTGATCCTTCGGTTCGACGATACTGTCTATTTCTTCTTTTTTAAACTTTGTTACGCGTTACGCTTGAATGTTATTTTGAGAATTTCCAAGGAATGGAAACGAAGGTTGACGATTGAAGTAAAATGACGATTGACATGAAGTAAATACGCACGCAGGGAGGAGAATTTGCGAACATTAGTTGCGGAATAAGGCAGAATAGCTTCCGGGTGCAGATATCCGGTCGCGATGCGGCAGCGTAATTCGAAAGCGCGCCACTCGAGCTAGCCACCCAGGAAATATTTATGAAAGCCGGCGTGAGTTGACCCAGCTTCACCGTCCTCCGACTTTCCCCTCTTCTGCTCCCTGGCTTCCTTCTTTTTCCACGTAGGGTACAAACTAACGCAATATGTGGCCACGTCTCTTTCGGCGGAGGCAAGAAAAGCTACCTTACGGAGTTTATGCGACCTCGAAAGCCTCGCGCGAGGAAACCGTCACGACTGATGTGTAACTTGATTTTTCTGTGAACATCACGTTCGAACAGAAAAATCGAAGAACAGGGGGTAGAAAAGGAAGAAGGAAAGTAACCCTTTCTTTCATGTTAATTCATCGACATCAAGTCGTTCGATTACTTAGAACACGGAAAAACGGTAAACGAACGGTGAAAGCAGAGTTAAACTTCCGGTTTCCGTGAAACGATTCCGTAAACTCGCCTCCCTTTTTTCACCGGTATCCTTCCTCCCGTCTCTGTGCCTAAATCCTCGTCTAGGTTCGCGTGTATCGAACGAAGGAGGCGGCAGCAACGAGAACGAAGGGCTTTGATAAATGACTGACGCGGAAAAAAATCCGCGTCGATACGTCTTGCTCGAGGAGATGCGCGCTTGTGGATGGTCGGAGGAGGAACGGATTTTAAGCCGACGTATAATCCAGCACTGCGTTTAATTTCTTGCTCGTTCCTCCTCGGTCCAATCCTTTCCGACACTTTCGTTCAACAACACCGAACAAATATTATTCCTGTTACGTTTTATGCAGCAATGGAGAATAAGAGAGATTCGTATCAGATTAACCCTTCATGGAATGGATCTAAATACGTCGTAATTCGACGATGCTAAACTTTCATCTCTCCATTCGAGTTTTAGTAAAGAGATAAACCACAATTTTATTTCACTCCACAAACGGGGTGTCGAATAAAAAGAAATCCGATGGGACGAGATTTGGGCTAATTTTTCCTAATTCGTTTTACGTATACTGAAATAATTGACAACGATGTCAGCTTATGAAGGTATCGTTTTTTGGACTAGAGCTTTCACTCTGTAGTTCTCGAATAATCTTCGTATTTCACGAAAGAATTAGAACTAATAACCTACTTCACGTAGTAGCGTGCTGCACTGCTCGATCCGAAGCAAAGGGTTAGCGTTCCCTGTGACCGGAGGAACGGCCATATCCATACCGTGGACGATTGTCGGGTCGATGGTCCTTTCGCGGATGCGTGCTTTATCGGAAAACACTGAGTGAGATATATGGAGAGATTATACGAGATGGCGTTTCAGAGTCGAACAGGCCGCTATTCTCCGCTCCGTCAATTATGCTAATTTCGATTGCCGCGAGATTAATGGAAGAAGGCGGCGTCCCCTTCGTATATACCTCGCTTCTCTCTACAACGGAGACCCGACGTTCCTTCCGCATTCGACCGACCGTGCATAATGCACCGGACTTGTAATTATTGCGGGTTACACGCTGACCTTTCCTATCCGACACTCCTCTTGGATAATTTCGCGAATACCACAGATGAAATCGTATCGAGCGTGATATTCTCTTTCCTCCGTACAGAATTTCACGTAAGTTTTTAGAAAAAAAGAGAAAAACGTTGTTGAGCTTTTCATCGAAGTTAGTACGCAGAGGAAGAAGATGACTGACGATATTCACATCAATAATACATGTCGCCTGATACCTGGCTGCCC